AAAATATAAAAACTCAAACAAAGTTAAACGTCTACTATTAATAACTTGTTTATATATGATAGTATTTGTGTTAACTTACATTATTTATTGTCGCATATGGTATTAAGTCTTCCCAATCCAACAGACGTTCCTCTTCCAGGAAATAGCCCTAGGAATATCATTTGAGGTTTTTAATGCATATGTCCGCATGGGGAAAGCCTCGAATATCCAAATCTACAAACAATATAATAACAAACATTAGTAATTGTTAAATAATTAATTATAATTTTGAAAACATTATATATAAATTCTTACCTTAAAGGCCCAAACAAAGCCTGACAAAGTGTATTTCGACCCATCGCCCCGTAAACTTTTGCGGTCATCAAAGGCAGACGACAACTTAGTCCAGGTAGCTTTCCATATATACGAACCCCACAGAAACAGATTCCATGCATTTAGGTCCTCTACTAATATTAGCTCCCGAGGAATAGGTTGTCTGGCCTCTCTGCCTAAAAAGCCAGCATACAAAAGTAGTAAAAGGCACGGACAACATCGACGTCATTCATCCGAGTAAAACCATCTTTCTTATTAAACAATTTCTTCATGTCGTCGACGTGTAAGTTCGGCTTCTCTATTGACTCATCAGGATAAACCCTGGATAACCATGATGGGCGGGTGATATGACGAGTGTACCGGCCTACATCGTGTCCGAATCGTAGACCAGTGATTAAGCAACTCCTTCCGCCCAAAACAAGTATACGCCGGTGGAAAATGAAACCATATCTCTCACCACGTTGTATACTGTCGGGTAGATCGCTAGTCATGGTCTGAACCACAAATGGATCAAATTAGCATCTCCACCCGGATGCTGTACTCTCAGCCATGGCCCGAAGCAGGTTTCCTCAAACAATTTTCTTTGTGCAGGTGAAAGCTTCGAAGCAATTGTAGTGGCTAGGCTAACTTTATTCCTTAACGTCAATGAAGCCGAAAAAATTTCTACAAAAACAATAAACATACCAAGTTAGATATACCAAAAACTACACTGTGAAGATATACCAAAAACAAAAAAATAAATAGTAGTTTATTCTTGAAACTAAAATTTGCAAACTGTTTTGTCTTTGGTTGAAATGAAAACCGCAACGAGATAATGAAAATCGCAACGCGGAAATGACTATCGCAACGAGAGAATCGCAACGCGAAAAATACGAGAGAATCGCAACGCGAAATGAAAATCGCAATGCGATGCGATTTTGGTTTCGCGTTGCTATTCTCTCGTTGCGATAGTTATTTCCGCGTTGCGATTTTCATTCTCGAAACTATTCTTCTTCTGCATTACTTTAACCAAAAGATAAAACAAAGACAAATACTAACTTCACAGGCTAAACAGTTTAGCAGTATTGGCAGCAATCGAATGAATTTAATAAGAAATCTAAGTGAAATGGTTAATCTATTATTGAAATTACCAGTAAACTTATCATCAATCTCAATATGAAAAACCTAAAATAATGCAAAATTTCAAAATAAAAATAAAAAAAAAACTAACCCTCGGAGGTTGATTTTCCATTTCTGAATGATTGTGAGGGATTTCTGATCGTGAATGGTTGTGAGGGATTTCGCCGGCGATGGGGACGGAAATCTTCGGAGATGGGGACGGATTTCGCCGTAGAGAGTGAGAGATGGAGATGGGACTGATTGTTGTGATTTTAGGTTTGAGGTTATGAGTTGCGATTACTGTGGACGGTTCAGTTTTCGATATATTAAGAAAAAATTCGTGTTTGGAATTTGAAAAAAAATACGCGTTAATACGAATGGCGCTATGTAAATCGCATTGCGATAGTAAGATTCGCATTGCGATTTACGTATTCGCATTGCGATTTTCCTAATTCGCATTGCGATTTACTTAATCGCGTTGCGATTTACGTATTCGTATTGCGAATTATGAAAATCGCAACGCGAATACGTAAATCGCAATGCGAATTAGGAAAATTGCATTGCGATAGTCAGTATCTCATTGCGATTTTCCAAATTCGCATTGCGATTTACTTATTCGCATTGCGAATTGGGAAAATCGCAACGCGAAATTGGAAAATCGCATTGCGATAGTCATAATTGCGTTGCGAATCTGGAAACTGATTTGCGATAATGGAGATCGCGTTGCGAATTAGCGATCGCATTGCGATTTTATTGGTCATTTTGGCAAATCCGAAAAAAATTGGTTAAAATCGTATATTATATGAGATTTTTGGTCGGTTATTTTCTCTTTTAATTATAATCCAAAGCAACTTACAAATGGTCCCAAAAGTAAACTTTTAATTGTTTTTAATTCAAGTCCAACTAACCGGACAAAATTCAAATATTATAATTTTTATATATAAATCAGCTATAAAAATTATATTTAAACTTACATTTAATATTAAATTTATACAAAATTAAATTAATTTTTAAATTTAAAAAGATTAATTAATCTAAAATTTAGATTCCGAAAAATGTGCCATGAAAATATTTCTCACCACGACTCTTCAAAACTAAGTAATACAAATTTTCAGTTGAAGTAATTTACATGTTACTTTTTTATACGAAAAATAGATGGATAAAAAATGCACTATAGACGTATGAATCAAATAGTCTTTGTGATAAATGAATTGTTGTTATTCTTTGAAAACTCGAGTTTGAGTATCATGGATGTCAGGTGTGTGAGTATTTAATATCGAAAGGTTGAGACTTATCTTTGAACAGATACTACCTTGTATTTATCTCAGATTAATTTAGAAAGAGAGTCACAATGAAAGGATAAAATTATAATGTTTCAAAGTTTAAGGACTAATTTAGAATGAAAGTCATAGTTTGAAGATAAAATTAGAATATATGAAAGTTTAAGGATTAATTTAAAATGAGAGTCATGGTTTAAGAACATATAATACAATTAACTCTTAAAAAATAAAATATAATCTACAACATAATCCACAGGGGGAGTTTGGTCACAGAAAAGATCATTACTAAGGGGAATGATCTTTTCCGGAATTATATTTCCATGTTTGGTTCACGGAAAAGATCGTTACCAGGTAATAACTTATTACCAATAGTAGTATTTTTGGGTTAAAATGATGAGAATGTCATTACCTCTAAATTCTTAGGTAATGAACAATTATCTTCACTTTAGATATAAATACCCTTCAAATAATAATAATTTTTTTCGTATAGATCATTCTTAATTCTTATTCTTTGTACTTTACTCAAAATTATAAACTTAATAATAATAATATACAAAGAGTTTAATTTAGTAAAATATTGATAAATTTATGTAGTTAAAATTATTTTATATTTTAATATTTAGTATATTAATTATTTTAAAATTTTATGAGGTAAAAATATTATAATAGTAAAAAATATAATTATTTAAAATAATATTTAATTTTAAGTTATTAAAAATAGATCTTATACATTAAAAATAATATATTTGTCCACTCGAAATCACAACATTATTTTTATTTTATATTATATTTTATATAAATAAATATGATACTTATAAAAATTATTTAAAATTATAAGTTTGATATACTTATTATATTAATTATATGTTAAATTTATTTTTTTCTTTAAACTTAGTGTAATAATTAAAATATTTTATATTTTATAATTTATATTTAAATATTTATAATTTAATATCAAAATTTTACTTGTTAATATATATCACAAGAATAATTTAATAAAATATGCATTCAAGTAATCTTATATTTTCTGTTTTGAAAATCGGACCGGACGGGTGGGTTCAACCGGTTCAACAGGGAACCGTTGTCTAGTCCGGTTTAATCTAAACCGGTTGAACCGCTACTAGTGAACTAGTCAGAACCGCTGAACCGTTCGAACCGGACCGGCTGAAAACCGGAAAAAATCGGAAATTTTGTTTTTTTTTTAAAAAAATTAAACCAAACGTCGTTTGGTTAAACGAGCCAAGTAGAACTCGAGTATTGCTGAGCTCGTCTCGAACTTGAAAACTTTAAAAGTAAGCTCAACTCCACTCAAACTCACAAGTTAAAAATTATCAAGTTCAACTCGAACTCGAAATATAATATTGAAATTTGAACTCAAAAAGGCTTGAAATAAAAAAAAATTTAGAAGCTCAATTGAAGTGAAAGAATAATTCACTCAATGCTCACCAAAAGGCTTCATGATTTTGAATGCCAAATTACCTCTATTATTTATAGAAGTTAGTTGTGATGCTCTTCTATGTTTCTTAGCAATGTGGGATTGTTTTGTTCTCATATTTTTACTCTTTAGACTTTTGGGATGCTCTTCTATGTTTCTTAGCCATGTGGGATTGTTTAAAAAAAAAATTAAACCAAACAATATTATTTTGTTATGATTTTTTTAGCCCCAAATTTATTTTTTAATTATAGTTATATAATTATATTTATTATTTAATATGTTTTACCTTAAATATTATGTTGTAGTTAATTTGAATCATTTTGTTTCACTTGATTTTATGGTTTTTAATCTATATATGTTATGACTTGCTTTGAATATAACTTGTGATATAAAAATTATTTTTTTTATTAAATATTTTTGGTATTTTTATTTAATTTTTTAAATAATTATGACGTCGTCCGGTTCTTCCGACCGGTCGGACCGGTTCGACCGGTTGAACCAGTGAACCGGTAGTATGGCCGGTTCGCTAACCGGTCCGGTTCTGAAAACCATGCTTATATTCCTCTAACTAAACACTGTAATCTTACATTACTATCAAGTAAAGTAAACAAAATAACACTCTATATTTAAATGATTATTTTATAATTTTTAATAATTCTGAGATTTAATAAAATAATATCTTATAATCAAAAAATTATTTATATTTTTATTTAATATAATAATATATAATATAAACAATCAAAGTTTAATAAATCCATAATATAAATTACTAAAACTTTAAATATTTAAAAGTTGTACAAATATAGGAACAAAGTGATCAATTCAGTATTGAAATACCGTGAGGAAGAGGAAGGTTGCTCAGCCCCACAAAATCGCATCCGCCAAGTAAATTCCAAAGCACCCATTTCTCTCTATTCAACGGTTCGCTTCCAAGATCTTCCGTCTCTCAATGGTTCAACCGTCGTCAACATCGCCGCCGGACCCGCAACAAACTCAACAATTCCTCTCCTCCGTCCTCTCCCAACGCGGCCCTGCCTCCCTCCCTTACACCGAAGATACCAAATGGCTAATCCGGCAGCACCTTCTTTCCCTCACCTTCCACTACCCTTCTCTACAACCCAAAACCGCAACTTTCACCCACAACGACGGCCTCTCCGTCAATCTCCTCCAAACCGACGGCACCATCCCAATGCCTTTCCAAGGCGTCACTTACAACATCCCCGTCGTAATCTGGCTGATCGAATCTTACCCTCGTTACCCTCCCGGCGTCTACGTGAATCCCACGCGCGATATGATCATCAAACGCCCCCATCCTCACGTTTCCCCCTCTGGGTTAGTCTCGATCCCTTATTTGCAGAATTGGGTTTACCCAAGTTCTAATCTTGTCGATTTGATATCTAATCTAAGCTCTGCTTTTTCTCTTGATCCACCACTTTATTCCCAACGTCGTTCCAATCCTAACTCTAACCCTAACCCGCCTAGTTATGAACATCAGCAGTCGGGGTATCCACCTTCGCCTTATGGGAGGGTACAGCCACCACATACGGAGGATGCCACGGTGGTTCATAAGATGAACGCGGTGAATAAATTGGTGGAGATGGTTAACGGTGATATAATTAAGATGAGAAAAGAAAGGGAAACCGGAATGGAAGGGTTGTTTTCGGATCAGGCAGTGTTGAGAAGACGAGAGGAAGAAATTAACAAAGGGTTGAAAGAAATGCAAGATGAAAAAGAAGCTTTAGAACTGCAATTGCAAGTTGTTTTGATGAGCAGCGATGTGTTGGATCGTTGGATTAGGGATAACGAAGGGAAAACCAAGAACATAGGGAAGAACATCGACTATGTCGATCTCGACAAGGTGTTTTATTGCGCCGACGAGCTTTCCGAGCAAATGTTGGACTGCACTGCAGCTGACTTAGCCATTGAGGATGCCTTTTATTCGTTGGATAAGGCAGTGCAAGAAGGGGCGGTGCCGTTTGATCAATATTTGAGGAATGTGAGGTTGTTGTCAAGGGAGCAGTTCTTTCATAGGGCTACTGCTGCTAAAGTTAGGGCAGCTCAAATGCAGGCTCAGGTTGCTAGTATGGCTGCTCAATCCCCGCATTCACATTATGGTGCCCCATGACCGGTTATATAACTATAAAGGTGTCGTACGAGACCGTTATTGTACAACCGCGATAACACACGTTGTAGCAGTAATCACGATAACTGCAACAGAAACCTCAATTAAAATCTCTGCTGGTCAATTTTTTGTTCTTGTGATTTGTCTATAAATTGATCATGTTTTGTGATATATCTGTATTTTGTTTTGCATAATTGAATTTATGGTTCCTTTATCCTATTAATGTGGGACAAAAAGTTAATATTTTGATGTGCATAATGTGCAGCCTTTCTCCTTTTGTAATGAATTTGGGCTCTTTAGTAGCTACAATGGTGAGGAAAATTGAAATAGAGCTATCTACTGTGTCTATTGGATTCTATACTGCCTGCAACATTGAAATTTGCTGGATGCAGCATTTACATTTTGTGTTCTTATGTCATCTTATCCTTAGACATGCATTTTTTATGTAATGAATGATCCCCAATTTATCTCAGATACTATACTACAGGACGTCTTTTCGAGGTTTCATGCATAAAAGCAGGGATGGCTCTAGAAGTCACCATGTGATCAAGGCAACTTCCGGAGGTCGTCGTCTGGTCTGGGCGACTTCCAGAAGTCACCATGTGATCCGGGCGACTTCCAGTTTCTCTTTTTTTCTTGTATTGAGCAGGTTATACTAACATTGATCTTTGAGCATGGAAAAATTGTGGAAAAATGCCATTGAAGGAATGTGTAACGATGTGATCCGGGCTACTTTCAGTTTCTCTTTTTTTCTTGTATTGAGCAGGTTATACTAACATTGATCTTTAGGCATGGAAAAATGTGGAAAAATGTGCCTACCATTGAAGGAATGTGTAACGTAGACGACCCTTAAAGGTAACTTGAATTATGCAGTATCGCTTTAGGCCTTAATTCAGTGCCTGTAGTAATGATTTTTATACGAATCTTCTTATAAGGGAGTCATATTTTAATGTCATATCACGTAGTTGATAGAATCGACTAAAATTTTTTTAGGTTGGTACAAGATTCAATTTTTTTTTTAATTTTTTTTCTAATTTAGTATATGAAATTCAAGTTGAATCGAATTTTGAACTTTTATTCAAATCTAATTGTAAATATTTTTAATATGGTGTGGGTTGATTTAATGATTTTTTTAATCATATACGATATACAAATATATTTCTTTATATTCTTTTTCATATTGCAATATTATTTAATAACTCAAATATAAAATATACGATTAATTTTATTTTATTTTCTTAAAATGTATTTTCGAGACAATGTATGGATGAGAGCATGTAGGAATTGATGAGATGGGCGAAATTGTAAAAAATAAATTGTAATTGATGAGATGGAAGAAATTGTAAAAAAATAAATTGTAGTTAAAAGATCAATTAAATAAAATCTAAAATTGAGAGGTCAAATCACAAAAATAATAAATTTGTTATTAAAAAATGAATTGATGTTATATAGATATTCTAAAGTGGTAGCAAAGTATCTACTTGAAATTTAATCGAAACAGACTTAAAATGAACAAGGAATTAGGAGAAACAAACTTAAAATGAACAAGGAATTAGGAGTATTCGATCTAGTCGAGTTGTGTCATATATTCAAACTCTAGCAAAATGAATCATATTACTTCCCATCAACAAAACCCTATACACTTAATGTTAAAGTACTAAAACATGTTCACTGATATTATTAAACATCATTGAATAAATTCTTCAAATCATCGATTGAATTCGATGATTCAAATTAATTGAGATACCATTATTTTATCAAATTGTTTGAATTTCTGTTTAAATTTAATCTTAAATATTTATAATATAATAATATTATTTAATTATGATTGAAATAGTATTAGGTATGACTCATATACCAGTTGGAGGATAGATGTTGGAGCGGAGTGAGCGAAGCGAATGTAGCCTACCAGGGTTACTCTTATATACTGTAATTGTAAAATAATTTTGTATTATTGCGAATAATAAAGAGAACATCCCATCATCGCTCCTAAAGACGTAAGCGCATTGTCAACCTCGTTAAATCTTGTGTTCTTTATTTGCTTTATTGCTTGTTGATTTCTTGAGTTAATTAGCCCGTTTTCACAACAATTGGTATCAAGAGCAAGGTTTGAGATGACTATGTCAGGTGCAAAATTCGAAGTGGTGAAGTTTAACGGTTATGGAAACTTTGGATTATGACAAACGAGGGTAAAGGATTTGTTGGCGCGACAAGGGATTTTGAAGGCTCTATAACCTCAAAAGCCAAAATCGATGAAGGACGATGATCGGAAAGAACTGCAACAACGAGCGATAGGAACCATAAGGTTATGTTTGGCAGACGAGGTTATGTATCACGTAATGAGTCTGTCGTCTCTAGGAGAAATATGGAAGAAATTGGAAAGTCAGTTTATGTCCAAATCCCTAACGAGTAAATTGTATCAAAAGCAAATGATGTATGGGCTGAAGATGCATGAAGGTCATGATTTGACGGAGGAGGTGAATGTCTTCAATCAAATAATTATAGATTTGGTTCAATTTGATGTGAAGATTGAGGATAAAGACAGAACAATGATTTTGTTGTGTTCATTGCTTTCCTTTTACGAACACATGGTGACTACTCTTACATATGGGAAAGAAGTAATCAATGTTGAAAAGATTATTGCAGCTTTGTTGGATCACAACCAGCGAAAGAAGAATCCATGGGAAAGCTCTCATGCTAATTGTTTATATTAAGGGTAATCAAGACCGTGGAAGAAAATCAGAGAAGGAGTGGTATAGAAAAAGAAATTCTAGATCAAAGTCTAGGGGCAAAAAGATAATTCATTGCTACAAGTGCAAAGAGACGAGACATATGAAGAGAGACTATCCAAAGTGGAAAAATAAAACTGATGAGAAACGCGATGAATCATCCAAGTATGTGAATGCGGTGCATGATAAAAATTTATATTGTAGTGATGATGATATGCTTTCTATTTCGATAACTCAATTGACGGGTGTATAGATTCTTGATTCAGGATGTTCTTATCATATAACGCCTAACATGGAGTGGTTTTCGATATACAAGTTCGTTAATTTTGGTTTTGTCTATTTGGGTGATGACAGATGTTGCAATATTATTGGTATTGGTGAAGTTAGAATTAAGATGTATGATGGTACTATTAGGACATTATGTGATGTTAGGCATATACCAAATTTGAAGAATAAACTAATTTCCTTAGGCACTTTGCATAAGAATGGTTTTATTCCTAAGGAAGATGAGGATAGGGAAACCATTATAGTTGTTAAAGGTGCATTGACTATGATGAAAGGAAAAATGATTGCAGGGAATATATATAAACTGTTAAGGAGTATAGTTATAGGTGTAGTTTATTCTGTTGAGTCATATGATGATAATACGAAACTATGGCATATGCGCCTTGCTCATCTTAGTGAACGTGGAATGACTAAATTGTATAAAATATATTTGTTGCATGGTGTTAAAAGCTGCATGCTCTATTTTTATAAGTTTTTTGTTCTTGGTAAACATACTAGAGTTAGTTTCAAGATTGGAAAGCACAAAACTAAAGAGATTCTTGATTATGTGTATTCTGATGTATGAGGGCCTACAAGAAAATCATCATTGGGTGGATGTATGTATTATATTACATTTATTGACTATTTTTCTATGAAAGCTTGGGTGTACTTTATGAAATAGAAATATGAAGTTTTTGCCAAGTTCAAGTTGTGGAAAGCTGAAGTGGAGAACCAAACTAGTAGAAAGATCAAGTGTTTGAGGACTGATAATGACACAGAGTACACAAATTCATAGTTTTAGAAATTTTATGAGGAGCATTAGATTCAGAGGCATTTTACAGTGCTCAATACACCACAATAAAATGGTGTTGCATAAATTATGAATATGTTATTGAATGAAATGGAAAGATGTTTGAGATTGAATGCAAGGTTTCTTAAAATCTTCTGGGCAGAGGGTGTGAGCATGGCATACTACCTCATTAACAGATCACCAAGAGCATGATTGGGTGGTAAGGTTGCAGGAGATGTATGGACATGTAATGCAGTTGATTTTGGTCACTTACGAATTTTTAGTTGTCCTGCTTATGTGTATATACCTGGTGATGAAAGATCAAAGCTTGATGCAAAGTCAAAAAAATGCATTTTTATGGGGTACACTTTAGGTGTCAAAGGATACAAGTTTTGGGATTCGATTTCAAAGAAAGTGGTGATCAATAGATATATGGTTTTTGATGAGCAGTTCATGTTGCAGCAGAACCAAGACAAGGTAGTGATGGATGTAGAACAATATCCAGTAGCAACTAAGAAAGAGGAAAGTTCTAATCCAACTTTTGGTGTGGGATTCGATTTCAAAGAAAGTGGTGATCAATAGATATATGGTTTTTGATGAGCAGTTCATGTTGCAGCAGAACCAAGACAAGGTAGTGATGGATGTAGAACAATATCCAGTAGCAACTAAGAAAGAGGAAAGTTCTAATCCAACTTTTGGTGGTTCTAGTATAGTTGATTTGAAGGATTATAAACTAGCCTGAGACAAAGAGATACATACGAATATAAAAGATCCAAACAGATTGGGTTTTGAAGACATAGTTTCCTTTGCACTTCACATTAATAGTGATGATTCAACTACTTTTCAAGGAGCTAAGTTCGTCTTCTTGAGGGAAAGAAGACTATTGATTGCAAATGGGTGTATAAAAGGAAACCATCAGTATCAGAAAAAAAGAGGGAAAATTCAAGGCTCAATTGGTAGCAAAGGGTTTTTCACAGTAGAAAGGAGTAGATAATGATGAAATGTTTTCTCTTGTGGTTAGGCATACTTCAATCAGGGCAATACTTACATTGGTAGCTAGTTAGGATTTACATTTAGAGCAGATGGATGTCAAAACTTCCTTTTTGCATGGTAATTTAGAGGAGAAGATTTATATGCAGCAGCCAGAAGGGTTCACTCAACTTGGACATGAGCGTTTGCTTTGCAGGTTGAAGAAATCTTTATATGGGTTGAAACAATCTCCAAGACAATAGTATAAATGGTTCAACTCTTATATGATTAAGATTAGCTACAAATGATGTGAGTACGATTATTGTGTTTATGTTATGAGCCTTGATGATGGTTCTTTTATTTTTCTGCTATTGTATGTTGATGATATGTTAATTGCTGCAAAGAGTATGCATGATGTTGTTAGTTTGAAAGTTTTATTAAGCCATAAATTTGATATGAAAGACTTAAGTGTTGCAAAGAAAATTCTTGGAATGAAGATTCACAGGGATAGAGGCTCAAGGAAACTGTGGTTATCTCAGCAGGGCTATGTTGAGAAAGTGTTAGACAGGTTTAGGATGAGCAATGCAAAGCCGGTAAACACTCATTGGCGAGTCATTTTAAGTTTTATTCAGAACAATGCCCTAAGCCGGATAAGGAAGTTGTTGACATAGCAAAGGTTCCATATGCCAATGCTATTGGTTGCTTGATGTATGCAATGATATGTACTCGCCCTGATTTAGCTTATGCTGTTAATCAAGTTTGTGAATATATGTCTAAACCAGGTAGGTGACATTAGGAAACAATCAAATGGATTTTCAAGTATTTGATACGCATTGTAGGGAATGAAATTGTTTTTGATAGTCAGGATGATAATACTTTGGTTGTAGGATATGTGGATTCAGACTATGCAGGTGACTTGGATTATAGAAGATCTACAACTAAGTATGTTTTTACTCTTGGTGGAGGGCTTATATATTGGAAGTAAACTGTTTAGTCTATTGTGGCATTATCTACAACTGAAGCGGAATACATGGCAGCAGCTGAAGCTGTAACAGAAGCTTTATGGCTTACTGGGCTAGTAAAGGAATTGGGTGTTCAACAAGGTGGAGTTTAGTTGCATTGTGATAGCCAAAGTGCTATTCATTTGGCTAAGAATTAAGTGTATCATGCTAGAACTAAGCATATTGATGCGAGGTTTCACAAGATTAGAGAGTTGATTGCATTTAGAGAGATATTGTTACAAAAGGTTCATAATAGTGAGAATGCAGCTGATATGTTGACCAAGCTAGTTACTACTAACAAGTTCATGCATTGCTTGGACTCTTTGAATGTTTACAGTTGTTAGGGAAGTATGGTAGCCTAACCCACTTTGATGTTTGATAAACTTATGGGTTTTTTCTTTTATTTCATCTCCTAAGGGGCAGGATATTCACCAAGGTGGAGATTTGTTCGGTATGACTCATATACCTATTGGAGGACAGATGCTGGAGCAAAGTGAAGGAAGCGATCAACATTTGTCCATTGGGGAAATTTTGTTACTGTTTGTGGGTTATGATTAAGTGGGTTAGGGGTGTGGGGTATGATATGAGTTTTTTTTGTAATTGTATCGGGGTTACTCTTATATATTGAAATTGTAACCTAATTTTGTATTATTGCGAATAATAAAGCAAACAGTCGCTCATCGTTCCCGAGGACGTAGGCACATTTTAGACCAAAATATTAACTTTTTCAAAATGTGTAGAGATTAGAATGTTTCTTTTATAATAGTAGATTAAAATAAACTTTTAGATATAATACAAAATCTAAAATAACTTAAAATTATTCAAAAGGTAAAAATTATTAGAGGTCCTTGTATTTTTAAAAGAACTCAATATGATCATCATATTATTTTTTCTCTTAATGTGACATTCTAATTCAGAAAATAACTCCAATATGCCCTTTGACAATCGTTTTTGGTCATTGATCGTTATGATACTAACTTTGCAGAATCATGATGATACTAACTTTGCAGATCATGATACTGACATGACAATCTAAAATACTGACGTGAAAATCTATGTGGCAAATTAACATGACAAATAAGTTAAATTAGTAGCTTAAACATGATAGATGAACTATCACATCAACAACGTGGACCATCACGTCAACACCGTGAACTAACACTGTAATGGTCAATGACAAAAAATATTAGTCAAAAGAACAAATTGAATTTAGTTTTTGAATTAAAATGTCACATTAAGAAAAAAAATAATACGATAGTGATATTAATTTTTTTAAATTACACGTACCTCTAATGCTTTTTTTATTTTTGTCTATTCAAAATCAATCCCACATGACGTGGAAGCTCATAGTAGGACCTTCACATTCTTCCCATAATTTCCCATTTCACTTGAGCAAAAACATTGTGAATTACTGAAATTTTTCTCAACACGCGTTTGGTATTCGAGAAAGTGCCTACAACTCGAGAAAATTTTTGTCCCCTTTCCCCTTTATTTTTTCCTTCGAGAATAATTAAAAAGAATGAAAGAAAAGAAAAACAACAGCAAAAGTTAAAAAGAAAACCCTAACAAAAATGCAATCTCACATTTACTTAACGCGTACAGCATCTTCCTGAGGACTTAGTGTTTCGCCTCACACGGCGATCAGATAAGGCTTCTCAGTGGCGAGATAGATTGTTACCTTTACTCTTAATCGAAATCGACTGGTTTCTTTCTTTTGCTCTCACTATTCATCTTGATTGCTTATATGAGCTGCAAACTACTGAATGATTTGATTTTTGAGTTTTCTTTTTGTGGACGATTTTGTGTTTTTAACTTGTTGGTTTAATTTTAAAGAGAGAAGAAGTGGGCTTGTTTTTTTAGTGAAGAAACTGAGGTTAGGGTTAGTCTCAGTGCACTCTTTTGGAGTAATTTAGTATTCGATTAACTAAAGATCAATGCCCAAATGTTGGTTTCTAATTGCTAGCATTGTGTGAAAGTTAGAAGCAGAGTTTGCTGTTTGGCCATGCTGATTTTATTGTGTTGAACCAAGATTTCATGTTGAGAACTTAGATATTGATGGAGTTGTTAGTTTTAACTAATTAGCAAAGCTCCAATATCGATGTCTTGCCGAGCATTGGGATAAATAAACTTCGTTTTTGGAAAGATTGTGCTTCGATCTAGGGAAAATTTATGATTGATCTTCAAGTCGGTTCTTATTTTCTGCAAAACTAGTGTTGTATAACATGCATGACATTGCTTTCAACGAATGATTGAGCCTTGGTTTCAAAGTGTTCTCAAGTTACTCAATTTCTTGCTTCTATTTAGTGTCTTCTTCCTCTTTTGTTTTCCCTCCATAGCATTTTTGTTCAGATTCCGGTATATCTCAACACCGTGTGCTGATATTGATTGCTGGAAACAATCCAAAATCCTTGGCTATCTGTGAAGTGCTTCTTGCATTGATCATGGTTTAGGGTAGTGTTCTTCCTAAACCTGTTACAGGATGAATTGAGTTCTATTGTTGTGTATCTCTCTATTTGTATCTCTGTTTGTTTTGTTTTTATCTTAGCTTCTGAATATTAGGAAGTAAGTGTTGGTGTAATTAGGCTCTCTTTATATGTTCCGAGCATGTACTGATTTGGAGCCTAAATGCCATACAATCCAATGGTTAGCCATGTGCACTGTTTTTCATGTAAATCAAGCATAATGGTTAAGCCTAAAATATTTTAATATTTTTCATAGTCGTACTTTCGAATTTTTTAGTACATTGTGATATGGAGTACCTGAATTTTATCAAAAAGGAAGATATCTAATCACTTAGAACATGTAATTACTATAGTCTTAAAGGCGTTCTGCAGTTTTAACTTTCGGTATTGTTGATTATATGCACTGTTTTGTTAGATATTATTATTGCCAACAATTTTGGATCTTACTTGTGTATATATTTTTCAGAGTTTGGGCCGTGCATTGATTGGTTAGAAACTCCTTGATCCTTCCAGCTTGTTCCAACTCCTTTAACCATGTACTTTAAACCCTCAATCTTTTAACTGTGCCTTTTACCACCATGAACTTTGTAGTCAAAGAGGGAGGGTTAAGCAATGTTGACGTGAGGTAATAGAGAGAGCATTTCATCATAGCAATGATCAGTGATTGTAGACTATCTTGTAGAAAGAGAAATGTTTATGCACTTGTATTAAAAGGAAGAATTTAATCCTTTTTCCTCCCAATCCAATCTGTATTTTTTTTTATAAATGAGATATATTAGAAGTGCTCAAGTGATTGATTCGAGCTTCATCTGCATGAAATGTGATGGTCTTTCAGTTTATTGGATTTGAATGGAGAAATTCCATCCTTATCTCTTTTATGAAGTATGATTGCATAGGTTTTCTGTTATCTTTTATTGGTTTGTGTTAGTTATCTTAAGAACAAATCTGTTTACTTAAGATTACTTGTTCTTGTGTTCATATCTGTGATTGGGTCCAAGCCTCTGCTTACTCATGGTTTCCAATGCTATAAGCACCAATTTGTAAAGGATGCCACTGCTCATCTTTATCATTTAATCCGAGCTACAGTAATGCTTTGCCTTTTTATGCCTGACTGACGTAAATTGTGTGATGAATTGTTTATAAATTTGCGGTTTGTCTTCTTAGTTCCTCTTTTATCTGAATTAGTATTGACTAGGATGCGAGGTTTGCATGAATTACTTTTTCGGGGCTTAGTGGTTGCTATATTCATAAATTAATGTTTGCCGATATGCCATTGTGCCATTTGTTCAGGTCATTGCTGCTGTTTTATATATTTATATGATCGGAACATAACGAGACACTGGGTCTTTGTTGTGCGCTCTGTTATCCTGTATCAGAACAAAACAAATCTACATATATATCTTATTCTCTAACTCAGTTCAGAATGTGTTTAAATGATCATGGCTTTTTCTTATTCGCTTAGATGACTGTGGCATCGTGTTGGTCCTTGATTTTATCTATATTTAGTTTCTGTTGAGCAATTTTTTATATTCCACCATAACAAGATGTCACGGTTATGTTGTTTTTCCTGCATTAGGAATGGACCACTATGCCATGCCAGCGCCGAGAAGGGGTGAGATGAAGCATAAAGGAAGAAATGTAGTTTGGTCGGTTGCAATGGACAAGTGTCTTATTGAAGCTCTGGCCATTCAGGCTAAAAACGGCAATAAGATAGACAAATGTTTCAACGAAAACGCATATACAGCTGCTTGTATTGCCGTGAATTCTTGTTTTGATTTAAACTTGAACAATCAAAAAGTTGTGAATCGCCTTAAGACGATTAAGAAGAGGTACAAGATAATGAGAGATATGCTAAGTCAAGATGGATTTGGGTGGAATTCGAATACAAAAATGATCGAATGTGACAATGAAGATCTCTGGAAGAGCTATGTGGCGGTCAGTGTGTTCAACACTTGTTCCCATTGTTTCGTTTTTCTCATTGCGGTTTGCATACTTAAAATTACTTGACATTTACCGACGTTGAGCAGGAACATCCTGATGCAAAAGGGTTCCGAAGAAAACCGATCGAGATGTATGATGAGCTAAAGATTGTTTGCGGAAATTACCAAGCACCTAGTCGTTGGGCGAAGATGAAGGATGGAAGTCATCCGGCAAGCTATAAGAACTTAGAAGAAGATTCTGCCTCTTTCGTATCACCGAGTTCATATGAGGCAAGTGATACCGATGGAACACAGTCATATACCGGTCCCCCGGAGTATTTGCAAGACGGAAGTCAAGACCCTCCTGCAATGGAGCCTTCCAAACAACTTCCAAAGCGACCGTGTGGCTTGGGTTCGGTTCAAGAGGCAATGCTTGCAGTGGCATTCAGCATTCGACGGTTGGCCGATGTCATCGAGCAGAGTAAAACTACAATCAATGCCTCGGAATTGTTGGACGCAGTTATGGAGATCGATGGGCTGGAAGAAACTAAGCAGATGTACGCATTCGAGTATTTGAATGCCGACCCTATCAAAGCGAGGGCCTTCATGACATACAATGTTCGGATGAGGAAAACATATTTGTTTAGACAGTTTTGGTGGTGGAAATGATCGGACCGGGGATCGGAACTGCAAACGTTTTCGGTATATAATCTACAATAGCGTGGGAATAGTTATGTTTCAACCCCTACAATCCCTCTTGGAAAGGTTGGGTGACCTAGTTGTTGGTGCATAGGCTTATATTGAAAATCCTCCGATTTAACTTCATTTTATAATAGATTAAACTCAATCGGATCTAAAATGTTATATTGGGAACCATTAAAATCTAAAATCTGTTTCATTTCCATTTAAAACATAATATACTTGTTAAAAAGATTATTATAACAATTATAAAATATTTTTATAAATCAAAACTCCGTACGCATAATTTAAATCAAAATAATTTAATCTCATAGTTTACAAATTCGAATACAATAATAAAGATCCTATGAATACATATGCCCACTAAAAATAACAATTCAATACTCTGAAAGTAATCCTGGAAGTTCTATTGCGACGGTTCTCCTAAACTGCTCAAGCTACTACATCATAATGTTCCTATGCTGAATCACATACATTTAATCAAGTTCACATTATCAATAAAGCTTATTAATCATTCACGTTATTATTCGAGTATCATTATTCTTCCCGTTAACTGTCAATTACAATGTTTTTAGACTCTTCACTCGAGTCTCACATCACTATTCACATAGTATGTGGTTCTTCTAACATATTATTCATATGGTACATCATCTCGCTTGCAGGTATATCCTTTGAAACAATTCACAATTGTTCGTTATGTGTCCGTTTAGAGACGCTTTGAAGTTCTTTATTCCCTAAGGGCATTTTGATAATTTACACCTCCTAAAGGTATTTTGATAATTTCATAAATTATGACACCTTTTTAAGCCTGGTTCTATATTTCATAACAATCTATAAATATTCGGGTGTAACAAGAGATGTTTATAATCTTTTGCTGTTTAAGAGTATTGATACTCAACTAGTCTCCCCGTCCTATTTTTCTCAATAAATTTAAAAATAAGAAAAATAAACTCCTTTTTTAGTAGTTTTAAAAGGAAAACATATATTCAACAAATTGCATGGTTTCTTTTTACGAGAATTGATTTCTAGGAATTTAAGAAAAGAGGAAAAAAAGGGTAAGAAATTAAAAAAATAAAAATAAAGACCCCATATATTAAAAATAGAGAGTAGATATCATAGTAGCTTATGGGTGACGATAAATAGAAAGAACATTTTGATATGTGAGTATGTGATAAGTCTCCCCCTCCCCTTATATGATTTGCTTTCAATAGTTCTAATATTTATTTTAATGGAAAATAACTTTATAAAATCTGATTCGATCGAGTTAAATTTATATCCTACACATTTAAATGTGTGTTGAATTTAATATCGAATATACATAAAATCATTATATTTTGTACTTTTTAATAGTCAGAGGACTCAAGAAAGCATCACCCTATGATTGGGGGACCATTTGTGTACTGTATCCAAAACTGAATTGATGCATACCTTATTATCTTCCTTTGCCATATTCCTCCATGCAACAACCCACTTAATGTTGTCTTTTATAACAAACACAGTCGCACCTACTGAGGACCCGACATAGGAATCGGCCATGTGCTGAAAATATGGTGTCTGCTGCGATGGAACATTTAACGGCTGATTTCCAGATCCATACCAATCAATCTTATCGTACGTGCTGAAGTCTTGGCCGGCTTGATTGCTAAAATACACCTTTGTATATATTGGAGTGCCCACCTTCCTACTTGGAGGAGTTACCGTCCCAGTAACTTCCTCGAGTTTTGCATTCAAGTTTGGCTTAACGCTACTCGGATCAATGTCAACAGTCGACTTGTATACTAAATAAGTTGCTTCGGCATGTTTGCTAGACCTTTTCAGTTGTTCTTTGATATTGTCCCAATTGATAGTGTCGTCGGTAACGATTTCGGTATAGACCTGGGTAGGAAGAGAAGTGATTTTCATCATAATGTCAAATATAATGTAAAATAAATATTTTATTTTTTCAAAATCACTTTTTAACGACATTCCTAAACAGTTACATTTCAAATTGTATTTTTTAAAAACACTTTTAAAAGTATATTTTTACAATATTTTTTTAAAAGTAATACCAAATAGATCCTATATCATCGGTAATGCTTTTCGATATGTTTGTTCCTATCAAATTAATAACAGAAAATAAGGAAAAAAACGGATAAGATCATTTGGAACTTAATGATAAGTTAGGTGCATACCTTATTGTCTTCTTTGAGCATGTTCCTCCAAGCAACAACCCACTTAATATTTTTCTTTATAAGGAACACACTCGCACCTTCGGAGGATCCGAGAAACGAATCGGCCCATTGCTGAAAATATCGTGTCTGAAGCGATGGGACACTCAGTGGCTGATTTCCGGATCCATTCCAGTTAATTTTATCATAGGAGCTCATGTCTTGGTCGGTTTGATTGTTAAAAGACACCTTCGTGTATATTGGAATACCCACCTTACTACTTGGACCAGCCATCGTCCAAGTTTGAAGAAGCTTATGCTATTTGTCTGGTTGTGTGGTTCTTTGAGTGTTGTACTACACACCCATATGTATATTAGTTTGCAGCCCAGAAGATGACAAAAGGTGTAGAGCCCTAGAATATCTTTTGTTTTAGGGTAAACTACACATTTAGTATCTAAAGTATCGGTTTTAGTTTGTTTTAATATTTAAACTATTTTTTTTAAATTATACCTAATGTTTAGTTTTTTTAAACTTTTAATTATTTTAAACTTTAAATGTTTAGTTTTAAAAACTTAACGCATTTAGTATCTAAACTATTATTTTAGATCCGTTTTAGTACCTAAAATTCCATTTTTTCAAAACTCAATGTTAAATTTTTAATGGGATACTAAAATGAAATAAAAACTAAAATTTTTAATGGCGATATAATTAAATGAAACAAAAACTAAATTTTAATCACAATTTGTTTTATATTTTTACAGGGACAGAATTGAATCAAGTCCATGTGCTGGTTTCTCGAAAGCTGGAACATCTTTCAATACAAAGGCTGTTACAACTACATCGCCAGACTAAATTTTTCAATATTAGCTTCTGGCATTTATGATTCACATGTTGGTTTTACTTTAAATATTCCATACGTGAATTGTTATAACTAATTTGCTCTTTTTTTGAAAGAGAAAAAAATAATACCAATATATTCACACATAACTTTGTCTAAAGTGGGATTTTTTCAATTATTTAGTTACAGTTACACGAATGAAACGATCTTGGTGTAAAAGAATTATTGTTATTTCCTGATGTCTCAGGTTCCACCACTAAGAATGACATGGATGTAAACATTTAATGTCAAATGGTAGAGAGTTATATTCGATTAAATATTGTCTTGTACTTACTCATATTAATAAAAAAAATTGTATGGTTTCAGTTAACATCGCATGCGAAATTTTCAACTTTTTACACTTTTTTTAATTAATAATAAAGTTTAGTTTGAATTTTCGAATATGCAATCTTAAGAGTTAATGGATTGTTGTTCATCCTAGAGGTGTCGAGTTTAAGAAGATGTGTGTGCATGATGTGTGTTGTCACTTTTTTTAAATATACACTACATTGTAATCACCTAGAACTATTAGAAAAGTTTCAATTTTCAAATAAAATAATTATTTACTTGTTATTAAATTATAAAAGCTAAATTTGTTATTATTTAAAATCAAATACTAAATTTAAATGGTCCTAAGTTAATCAACGGATAGATTATTTTAAATAGGCAAGAAGGTACCTAATGTATATATATTTTTTTGTTAAAAAAACCAATGTGGCACCGTAATTACTTTTGCACTAAATGTGGACATCAAATTTTGGAATTACTTTTGTTTTAAATGTGACTCTCAAACTTAGAAAAAAAAACCTTAAAATGATTCTTTGACTAATGGTTTCTATCTTTGACCATTACAATGTTTACTTGACAGTCTACAGTGATACGTGGCAGTCCACAGTGAGTAGTGACGTGATAGATGAGCTAAATTGATTTTTTTTGTTGAGTTCAAGGGCAAAATTGATTTCTCTAAAAATTTTGGGCTTATTTGATTTTTTTTAAAAATAAAATATTTTAAATTTAAAATATAAAACATTTAAAAATTAAATATAAAATAAGAAAAATAACAATTAATTTACTAAAAATATATATTATTATTTTTTATCTCGAATTTAAGTTGACTTTTATTTATATAAATCTAACCTCCTTCATCCTGCATAGATTTTATTTTATATATTTACATCTAATATCTTAAACTCCAAATAATTTTCAAATTTTATTTCACTAAATTTTTATAAAAAATAATTAAATAAATATTATAATGTTTTATAAAAAATAAATTTTAAAATTATGAAATTAAAATTTATTTATAAATTATCATGAAATTATATAATTAAATAATAAAAATAGTTATGATATTAAGATGAGCATTTAGTGAATATAGCATGATAGAGAGAGTATATGTTCAAAGATAATTCTCAACAATTTGACATTGAACGCTCACACCCCTGAAATTCTTGGTGCTCGAACCGAGACCTCAAGGAATAACAACAATTCCTTTACCACTAGGAATGCCAAGCGTGTGAGTGTTCAATGTCAAATGATTGAGAGTTGTTTTTAAATAAATACTGATTTGTACTTACTCTATATTAATAAAAAAATGATAGAGGGAAGTAAACTTCACTTGAACTTGATCTAAAAAAAGGAGTATCGACCTACCCACAAATTTCTGTTAGATACAACTCTATAAAATCAATGTAGATATGAACTTCACATATTTGAAGTTTCTTTTGTCACCCAATATTTTTTAAAATTTTCAAGGGATAACAAATTCGTTTCTACAAAACAAAAATAAAATAAAACTCCTAATAGAATTGACATATTAGAACATTTTTAGATTTATATAAATAAAAATAAAGTTAAATTTAATATAAAAATAAATAATATATATTTTTAGTTGCATTGATTGTCAACCTTTTAGCCACGGGCTATTTTGCATTAATTTAGGACAATAATTCAGGCGGATAAATTTTTTAGTTTAATAGGATAATTCAAAATTTATTTTGAGATCTACGATATTTACTACAGTGAAGGGTGAACTCATAATCTAGAGGTGACGAGTTTCAAAAAATATTTTTATTTAAACTCGTCACGTAGACATGACGAGTTTCAAAAAATATAATTTTTCTATTAGAATCTGTCATGTC